AGTACTCGTCAATAGCTACGCGTGGATATAAAGAACGTCAAAAACAAAGTTTATATGATGAAGTTATGTAATTTACAACAATCAGTGTTTTCAACATGCGCTCAGCGCGCACATGCCTTCTAGAAGGGCGACATGGACCTACCAAAATCTGACACATGGCATCAGAAGGCTGGAGCAACTTTGGAAGCATACGAGGTGCATCATGAAATTTTCACCTATAAAAGGGGCAGCAAACCCCTTTCTTCTTCACACCTCAATTTCTACTTTCTCTCATTTCTACGTCAAAAATTGCCATTAAAAAACTTAGGAAATTCTTCATATATATATATATATATATATATATATATATATATATATATATATATATATATATAGTTTAGCTATTAGTAAGCTATATTCTTGAGTTTTGTCGATCCAGAGCCCCGATGCCACCAACCGTAGTCCTAGGGTCTAGTAAAGCACACTACTAGGGTGATTTCATGTCCCCACTTTTATTTTTTTTTTCAAAAGATTTATGCTCGGAGGTGGGGGGGGGGATACATGTTATAAAACTACTATAACATGTATTATGCCTAGTAGTTACCCTGTCTAAAATTTAAGAATGATATTATGCCTAGTTGTTATCATGCCTCAAACTACATTGGAAGGGTATACCTCGTTGTTATGCTGACCCATTCCCTGGGATAACGTAGTATCTAGTTGTTATGCTGGTAAAACTTAAGGATAAGCATTGTTCCTAGTTGTTACTCTACCATAATATTCTAGCAACATCAAAATCATAATTATATATATATATATATGGTATGTATATATACGTATTAGAATAATTATATACAAGGACTATATTAGTGAAAAACTTAAGGATAAGCATTGTAATTATTTGTTACTCTGCCCTAATATCCTATCAAAGAGTCATTATGTTAGGCTAATCCTCTAGGGCAACATAGTACCGAGTGCTGGCCAAAGGAATATGATTGTATCTAATCGTTATGCTAGGCTAATCCTCTAGAGTAACATAGTACATAATGCTGGCCAAAGGAATATCATCATATCTAATCGTTATGTTAGGCCAATCCTATAAGATAACATAGTACCTAGTTGTTTCATGCCCAAAACCTCTCGAATAAGCATCGTTCCCTATCGTTACTCTACTCGATTCAAACGAGTAGCTGTAGAATGTTATGTCGTCATTCAACTTAAATAATTGTTATATCACCACTACGCTAGTTTGGCTTTAATAAAATACCCAATTAAATGTAATTACATATTAATTATAATTATAAAACATTAAGATTCAAATTACATGGTAGGTACACAGTTATATAGGTTAAGATTGTACATTATCCGATTAACCTATATTGAGTATGAAAGTTCACTCGTAGTCACCCTACCCTATAGATAAGAATACCCTCCTTTTCGTAAAATACATTCCTAAGATATACATACACAAAAATAATAGGTTAAATGTCTCTATAGCCTAATCAACTATCGTCATTTATCTGATTTGGTTACTAAAATATTTTTTTGTGCAATAGGTCATTTAACTTACAACTTATCTGTCTATTAAGTTACTTTCGTTACATTTTAACAAATCCTCCGTTAACTAGTTATTATAAGTTACACGAATGGTCCCTATGCTTTCAACTTCTTTCATGGTTGGTCCCACACCAACACAGTTCATCATCGAAATCACCACTGTTCAATTCCGGAAACCACCACCCTTCACCTCGGGCAACCCTGTTAACCGTTAGTCAAACATACGATCACTCACAAAAGAAATCTCAATTGGTTTTATTTTTTTATAAAAATATAACTTCAGCGAGTTTCAATTTGAAAGGATGCATTATATATATATATATATATATATGTGTGTGTGTGTGTGTGTGTGTGTGTTCAGAATGAACATTGAATGAAAGTGTAACAATGTTTCTTCACCATTACCGGGTTGGCGATCCATGTTAGGAAAATTGCTTCCCTAAGGATCCCAACGCTGGTCAATTTAGCCACTTTTGCATTTATTGTCCTATTTCAATCCCCTCCCAGGATGCGCTTTTTTTGTTTTACCTCTTTGGCCCATGGTTTTATCATCAACTTATGTTCTATGATTCCCCGGTCGACCCCCACTATGTCTGTGGGTGTCCAGGCGAACACGTGATTGTACTTTTGTAGCAATCAGATCAATCCTTGCCTTGTTGACGTAGGAAGGGCGGTTCCCACATTCACTTGTTGGCGTAGGTATTCCTTGTTGATTACCTCCCATTCGTGTTATGAATATGGCTTTGGCCTCTTGGCCTCCGTTGAAATGTCTTGTGGTTGCATAATCTCGTAGCATTTGAGCTCTCTTGGGGGTGTGGCTAGGATTGTACTTGGGCCTTAGCTTGTGCTAAACTTCACTATTCCATGAATCATTGATGAGATTGCTCAGAATTTTAGTAGGACGGTTCGCCTTATTATGACATTGTGTTCGGATGAGTGTCGTATGACTATAAAATCTACAAGAGCGGTTCGTCGCCTGGTCTTGTCTTGACTAGTGAGTGTGAACGGTAAGTGGATCGTACCTAGGGGCCACAGACTATGCCCTGTGAATCCTGTGAGTTGGCATGCGGTTCGTATTAATCCCTCCTTCCATACGTCAGGTAGCAACCGAAAACAATGCTTGTAGATGATGTCTACAGAGCTCCCCATGTCAATGTACACCCAATGTATCATGGTGTCTCGAATGGAGCCTTGGATAACGAGAGGGTTGTCTCCTTTCCACTCGGCTGGGCTTGGGTCAGTCATGCAGAAAGTTAGCCCTTGCATGCTTTCCGTGATACTTCGCATGCTTGTTCCACATTCCGCTCTCCCCCCTTGTGGCGAATCATGAGGATTTCTTGTCGATAGTCTGCTCCTTTTACGTTGTCTTTAGGGTTTTCCGCATCAAATTTAGCTCGTAGACTTTTGGCGATCTCTATTACGTTTCCCTTCAGCTGCTTCTCTTCCAGCTTCTGTTTTAAAACCGAGCAGTTGACTGTGTCATGTGTCCTACTCTTGTGGTATTCATAGTATAGCGTCTTAGTACCCTTTGCTGTTGGTTTTTTGGCGACAGTATAAGCTTCTGCTCGTCTTCCTCGCCTGTCGTCCCTTGCGAAGGTTCTGAATCGTCCATGCGGTTGCCTGTCCCGCCCTGAAAATCTACCCCCTCCCTAGGCGTCGTGGTAGGAGGTTGATTAGTAGTGTCATTTCCCAGCCGGGGAGGACATGGCGTTGAGGTATGCTTGCTTTGACGCTTCGCGTTCTTCTTGGCGTAGGAAACGCTCCAGTCGCTTTTTTAACTTTGCTCTCGTCTGAGGTTGCTTGCCCATGAGCTTCTGGGAGAGCAAACCGAGAAGTAATCCCCACGTGAATGCACCTGCGATCAATCCTTCGTCGTGTCCAGACACGTCGAATGTTGCTTTAGTGAACCTAGCAAAGTAATCCTTGACTGTCTCCCCCTCCCTTTGCTTACACCCAATAATAGAGTAACAATTGCCTTTGTACTTACGGAGCTGCATGAATTTAGTTAAAAAGAGGTATTTCGGCTGGCTAAAGTTGCAGATGCTACATGGCACAACGTTTTGAACCATGTCCCTACGTTGTCGTCTAGAGTGGTAGGGAAGTACGTGCACCAGAAGCGTTCGTGTAGCTTGATAGATGTCAGCGTCCACTCATATGTGTCAATGTGGCTATCTGGGTCTGTGGTGTCGTCATACGTTTTGAGGTGGGGTAGTTTGGCCGTATTGAGAATCTCGTATTCCAACAATTCTTTCACAAACAGTGATTTTCCAATCTCGTTAAAGGATCATATTGTCTCTTAAATAATTGTAAATCCAATCGTTGGTGTTCGGTGTTCAGACTAGAAGACAAGTAGGGGCGGACCTACTTTGTGTCCTGGGGTGGCACATGCAGCCCCTCAAAATTTATCGTCAAGTGCAAAATTTAGTGTAAAATCGTCAAAGTCCGTCACAAAGCCGTCACAAATCAGTTGGAAATTTTTCACAAAGTCCTAATAAGTGTAAATTTAATGTAAATATATCGGATTCATGATGGATTTAATGACGGAAATTGCCGTCGAAAAATGAGGTTTTTTTAGTGCTGCAACCCTTAAAAATAATAACAATTCTCAAGCAACTTCTATCGATGTGTCAATTTTTTTTGTCGTTTATTGAACCTAAGAAAACAGTTGATGCGTTACGTGAATCAAGTCATATATTACTTTATAGAACACAATTATTTATATATAATTTCAAACAAAATCTTTGTACTAAAAAATAACCATGCAAAATAAGATTTTCACAGGGAAAAACCTCAAAAAAAAAAAAAAAAAAAAAAAAAAAAAAAAAAAAAAGCTCTATGTATTATAGGTCAGTGCTTAAAAAACCGTTCTTTTATTTTTTTTGTACTATTTAACCATTATTTTGTATGAACTTTATTATTATAATGTTTTGTTACCGGTTGCTCTTAATCAACCGGTCATTTAGTAAGGTGATATCCCCATTTTACCTTCTTTTTCAAGACTGTCACAAAAATAGGAAAAATTCCTATAATGCCCCTGATCTGGAAATGATTACAGGTTCACAGAAAAGGAAAAAAAACAAAAACATGAAAGGAATACTCTTTTCTAAATATGATAAAATGGAACAAAACAAGTTACCTCACAAAAGGAATAACACTTTTCTAAATAAGTATACGTTGATCCTTATTTGGGTCCTTATTACCTGTTCATGCACCCATCATCCTTGTTGTAAAGCACCCAAAGAGGCACATGACTGAAGTACTAAATCATTTATGACATGCAATGCGTATCATTAAAGCCGCTGTTAAGAAATATCATGTCATAAATGAAGATGACACACATTTTTGCGTATCGTAATTTAAACTTAAAAAAAAATTATTTATAGATTTACTAATTTTCAAATTAAATTTACATCTCATGTATCATAATAGAAATAAAATACCATTTACAAAAAATACAATATATTGCACAAAAGTTAATGTCATACAAATAATCATTCCAATAGTAGACAAACGTAATACATCAAATGTGAAAGAGATGAAAGTCATCAACAAATAATAGTTGAACTACAAGAACTTGTTGCCCACCTTCACAACGTCCGAACTACTTTGCTTGACACTATGCACATAAACAAGACCTACATATTTAAATAATGAAACCATTAGATTCACATAAACCAACAATTCCCGATATGTAAAAATAAGCCAAAAGAAAAAAAAAAAAAAACAAAAATAACTTTAAGAATGGGGTAATGAGGTAAAACATGAGGTTGAAAGTACCAGACAACCAAAATTTAACATACTAGTTCCTGTACAATCACTCTTGAAAGCACCAAAAAAATATGAGATAATTATGATAAATATCAAATAAAAAAAATTAGAAATTAGGTCATGGGGTTTAAAATACCATATTGTATAACTATTTTCATATAAGGTAATGATAGACTATAACTATTGAAAGTCTATACAACTAGTGTTGTTATTTTACATAAACACAAACACATAACATAAAAATGTTAAAAAAAACAGCATGAAATATCCGGTTTATAGTTTACTATGTTGCAAGATCCTTCCCTCCACAAATAATCTATTCATAAACCAACATTAGTAAGCATCTGAGTGACAACTTTTCCCTTTATTAATTTTCCAAAAAAAAAAAACAACTAACCTCAGCAAATACAGAAACAATTTTAGGGAGATACTGGTTGTTCGGTCCTAGAAGTACTGTGTCTGACCTGTAATAGTATAAAAAAACAAACACATTAGATAAAAATTAAAACAAATCAAAGTAAGTTGCTATATATGTTAGTTATATATACCTTTCGACCATTGAACATAACAGCTCATGAACAACTTTGGCTTCGATAAGATCTTTGATTGGCAAACAGCTTAACCATGCAAGAATAACCTGTGCAAATTTTAAGTTTTAACATTACATATGTATTTTATTGAGAACAAAAAATTAAAATAAATAAATTATATTATTATCATATTTCCTAAATGACCTGAGTCGATACTATCGTGATGAAAATGACATATTTTTCCCAAAGTAGAAATCGCATTATCATATGCCATCACATTCTCGGGGTGAACAACATTAGGGTATCTTATTACAACAGTTAGCCTCGACAGATCCCCTGAAAAAATAATACAAAACTTTTAAGTAAATAAAAAATAAAAAATACAATAGATTATATTTAGTGTACCTCCAACAAGTGGTTTTATAACATAGCCACCATACTCTGTACACACTCCAAGTCCATATACAATTGCCTGGAAAAATAAAAATAAAAATATATGGTTTAGTTTATAATAAAGCAAGAACACGCTACCTGGTTCAGAGAAGGGGCAAAATGGTAAATATTGGATACATGAATCTAAAGTGAGATACTAACCATGCAGCTCCAAAAGCTAAAAAGAGTACACTAGGGTGTGTTTGATTTGTAGAATGTTTAGAAGGGAGCAGAATTTGTCAAAGGAATTGGAATCGCAAAAGATTGGAACTCATTTCTAAGTTGTAACCAAACACAGTATTGGAATGGAACCAAATTCCAATTCCACCCAAATCCCAAGAACTCCAACTAGCCAAATATTATTTATAAGTATATAAAGATTCAAATTAATATAAATCATCCACATCAATAACAATAGAAACAACTACTTGATTGAATTGAGAACTTGTTTTCTCCATACTGGTAATTTTCTCCAGCACTAGCAACTTCAGGGTAAGATTGACAAGTTGGTTGAGTTGATGAAAATTTTTGATCTTGAAACTGAATTTGAACTAAACAACACATGGGTGTCTTCAAAGTCAAGATCAAGAACTAAAGATGATGGAACTTTCTAAAAAAGAAAAACATTAAGAACAAGAACACAGGCAAAAAAATTAGATGTGTAAGAATCATAGCCCTAGTTTGTTTACTAATCATAAATAAAAATGCCCAGATTAGGAAGGAAAATAAACATGCAGGTTCCAAGAATCAAGAAAATCGAACAGTTTATGAAGATCTTATAAAATCAAAGAGCTAAATCCACATAAAGTCTAACACTGAAAGAAGAAAAAGAAAGGGGTTTGAAAGATTAAAGATGCAAAAACATGAAAGAAGAAATTATACTCTATAAAGGAGAGACTTACCTAAAGTTGCAGGAGAAGAAGTGTTTGTGCAACCAGAGTAGTTTTAGGGTTTCCTTCGGTTACTCCCTTCACATCTCTGACAATCTTTATCTATGGAGGAGAGAGATGAGAGAAAACCTGGTGGAGGGGGAGAGACGAGAAGGTGGATGCATCGATTAGGGAGAAAACAAACTCAGAGAGTGGAGTGAAGTCGGATTTAGGAGAAGTTGTACCAGTTTTAGGGAGAAATCAAACCACTTGGTCTTTTTTGTTGATCTTCTTTGTCGGGATTACTGGCTCGCAAATAGAGAGAAAGGTTAGGGTTTCTTGATTGAGAGAAAGGTTAGTATTGATAGAATTTACGAGAAAGACCTTGAGGAAGGAGTTGATAAAGCCCGAGGCAGTGACGATAACCATATGGGATAACGAACAACTGACTCCGGCACAGGTGCAATATGCGTGCATTGATGCTTTTCTGAGTTATAGAATGGGGAGGTTCTTGATTGAGAGAACCTGAACTAATTCGAAGTTGAATTCACAGTTTTTGATCTAAGGCAACATTTCTCAAGAGCAAATTAGGGTTCTTAATATTTAGGGATTTATGATTTAGGGTGATTTGGGGAGTCGTAGTAGGCGGGATGTTTAATTTTTTTGGGAACGGAAAATGGTTATGAATGATTTAGGGTTCTTAGCAGAGGATTTTAGAAGGAGAAGAAGGAGTATCAGGTGAGATGTTTAATTTTTTTTGGGATTTCGTTTCCCAAAAAAATATGTAGAACGCGCCTTCTTAAAAAAATATAAAGCGACACTTTTACACGACACGCTTTTTATGATAGGTGTCCTCCGTATTTTTTTTTCTTTTCAGGGCAAGCATAAATGCGTGTCCTCTATCCTTCAAATTTTAGAAGATATGATATTATTTTTAGGGCGCACGCTTTTGCATATTGTAAATCACTACGTGTCATTGTTTGCGTGTCATTAAAGGGCTGTTTTCTAGTAGTGCTAGTTGGATCCCCAACTTTTTCATTTCATTAAAGAGTGATAAACATCATCGAACTTCACATGACTGAAAAATCCTATGTATTATAGGTCGGTGCTTAAAAAATCCCTTCTGTTATGTTTTTAACGTGGGTAATCTAAACGAAAATTATAGTAGACTTAAATACAAACATGTGGATATAAATATCGTTAAAATTTGTAATCGTATGAAGAAGTCACTACGTTTAGAATATAAAACTTAAGTCAAACCACAAGAATTAAACAACCAAGCAGGCAAGGTCGTGGTGGCGGTGGCCATATGCATGAACAACCCCGAACACTAGGGGTGTTCAAAACCAGATATCCGAAAATTCGGATATCCGAAATTTTCGGATAGTGAATTTTTAATATCCGAATACGTATCCGACATTCCGGATATTCCAAATTCGGATATCCGAATTTTCGGATACGGATTCGGATACCAAAACGAATATCCGAAAAAGTCTAAAATTTTGTAATTACTAAATATCAATTCATTTAATATCAATGTTAATATGTTGCATTTAAGCATCCACACCACATAAATTTATAAACCGTTTGTTTTTTATTGACAAAAACCAATTCATTTTTATTTTGTACATGTAAAAAAAGTTGTTGCATTGAGTCTTCAATCACATATATAATCATCAACTTATAGTCATTTTATATGTAATATTATATGATCGTACTAATTTGTTAAACTTACGCCAAATTAAAATAAAACAAATGCATGAATGCTTCTCTTTAATTCTCGTTACCAGCATGCTATTTCAATACAAAGGCAGATGTATTAATAAAGTAGTTTAACTAATGATATTATGAATATTTTTAGTTATTAATAAATATATTATAAGATTTAAGTGTTTTGAAATAAAGAATAAACACAAAATAAAATCATATTTTCGGATTTCGGATATCCGAAATATCCGAAATTTTACAAAATTGTTATCCGTATCCGAATCCGAAAAACCGGATATCCTAATTTCGGATATCCGTAAATTCGGGTATCCGAAATTTTGGATAATATAAGATCGGGTTTTCGGATTTTCGGATCGGATTTTCCGGATGCGGATACTTTTGAACACCTCTACCGAGCACCTTATTAATGATTGTTCCGCGTAGGATGTTGTGAGAAAAACCTAAAAAACCAATCATAAGTATTGGATGTATACAAAAACAACAAAAACCTATTTTGAAAAAAAATATTAAGGACTAAATGTACAAAAAAATATTAAAGACTAACTGTGTACAAAGTAAGAAAATATATATTACCCTTTTAAGTTATTTTTTCCGGTTTACCTAGAGTGGTCGGTCATAAGGACTAAATGTGTACAGTTAAACAAGTTGAAGGGGTAATTGAACGAAAAAAAAAAATCAGTGAACAAATATATACCACATCGAAAAAATATAATATCATTTTAAATCATTATCCCTTGATCTTAAGGGGCATATAAGGGAAAATGTATTTTGATTAAGCAGATGGATAAAAATTTCAAATGGAATTATCAGCTCCCATGCCATAGGGCCTGAAATTATTTTTTACGTGTATTAATGCTATATATAAAATACTATAATAGATTTAAGAATTAGGAAAACAAGGTAGGTAGGTGGTTAAGGCGCTAGATTCTCAAGCTGTATTGCCCGGCTTCGAAATTGTGGCCTTGTGGGGGCAAATATTAAATTTTATTACATTTTTCTTTCTAGCCGTTCCTATCCCTTTAATCGAATACTAGCATTAACGGTATCACACTTCACATAAACATTAATCCAATAGCCTTATATAAGTCCATAAGGGCATTAGTATAATAATAATAATAAATATATACAAAATGTAATTTTTTCTTTGTCTTGAGAGTTATGTAGCTTAATGAATAACTTTTCATGCAGTGTACTGTATTAATATGTAAATTGTAACTTTATTTCCTTAATTTTATATAATCTTTCATTTGTAATTATTTTATTTTATAAAATAATATTTTTCATCTTTATATTTTTTAAAATATCACATTCATCCATTCTATCTTAAATTTTGTAAAATGCCATTTTTATCCATCAACTTTGTATAATCCATCCCTTGCAATCCTTATATTTTGTAAAATGATATTTTCCCCTTTCTATTTTATAAAATATCACTTTTCACCATTTCACCTTTAACTTTTTAAAATATTATTTTCACAATTTTATTTTCTAAATTTTCGTGTTTATTCCTCATCCCCACAATATATATATATATATAATATGATTTTTTCCCCTATACTTTTCTAATACGCAACAAAAACACGTAAAAACTCATGGAAAAACGCCCGCTAAATTACTATTTCTTATAATAATAACCATTTGATAATTTAAATTATTTTTCAAAGTTGCCAGGCATACAATTTGAAAGACATCAAGAACATTTCTTTTTCTTTTTTCTAATAGTCTAACTACAATTCAGAAGTTCTCTGTATTTTCTTCATATGTTCGCATTATCTTTTCAATTGGCATTGTTCCATTAGATTTTTAATTTAGTATTTAGACTTTTTATAAGAAAAAACAGTCATACCCTAAAATTAACGGACTTGTCCTAGTAAGTAATATAAATTTAGCTTTGATATATAGAAGTTGTTGCTTGGTTTCATATAGGTTTCAATTTGGATTGATTTTCGAAGCAAAGTAACAATAGCGACCAATGAATAACGCCGAAACCCACCCCAATTTTCAAATATTGGCTACGGTATTAGTGACATTGCATTTTGCCAGAATTTTAAAAATATATTTGCTTTTCATTAAAAACAAGAAAACACATCAAATCACTTTTCATTGGCTCGTTTCATTGTTGTTTTTGTTATACTCAAGTGGGTTTGCAAGTTCTAATCAAATGTAATCTTAAAGATATCAAATGAACATGTATGATTCTCCAAACGACATATCCCATTGGAATTTAACAGAAAACATGTACATCCGAAAACTGATATGCACCCAAAATGGTACAGCAAGAATATATATCTCGTTGGAATAAGTAACCAAACTGTTGCATATGGAAAAAAGGGCACATCTTTAATACAACATGCAAGAATCTGAGGCCTTGATATGACATTAGATAGATATCAATTTGGTGGGGTGATGCCTAGATGCGCTATGTCTTTTTTCAGTTTATATGTATCAACATTTATTCCCCAAGCAAATTTACAAGAGAATATAGTGGGGATTATGTGTTCTTTTTGGTAGGTTAGGGGAAAAATCCATTCTTTAAAAGGTGTGCAGTGATTTTTTCAAAAGAATCTCGTTTTTCAATTTACTAATTGACCCGTTAAATATTGACACCATTTCGTTTTTTTTTTTTTAAATCTAAAATGTACAAGGATATTTAATTTCTCCATTTTGATATGTTAATTACTAGTTGTGACACTCATGTATCATATTTTGTAAAACACTATCTCAAATAACCATATTTTTAAAAAATCCAACTAGGAGTTTGAACTCCATTATTATTTCCAAACTCGATTATCCGTTTCCGTTATTGCTGCTGGATTGGCTGTAGGGCTTGTTTCTATTGGACATGGAGTTGGTCAAGGTACTCCTACGGGTCAAACTGTAGAAGGTATCGCGAGACACCTCGAGGTGGAGGGAAAAATACGAGGTACTTTATTGATTAGTCTAGCTTTTATTTAAATATGAAAAATAATTTTTTTTTCATATTTTATTGCCTTGGACTTGTGCTTTTCTTTTTCGAGTTAAATAAATATTTCATTCATAGAATTACTTATTCGTTGAGAAAATAACTCACGGAAGGGTTGATTTGCGGATGAGGAATTAGCATACCAACTCGCTTTCATCCTTCCCGTTCGTGTTCGTAGGCCTTTTTTTTAGTTTTTAAGAGGGGTTGCAACCAAGGAGGCAATTCATTATTTCTAAGTCGAATTTTTTTTTTTTTTAATTCTATTTAGAATGTAGGAAACTAAATATCAATATATATTAAAGATGGCAAAGTAATACAAAAGAACTCTGTTGAATTTTTTAGTCTATCTATACGTGGAGATCATATGAAAAATGTAACTGATTCTTTCGTTTCTTTGGGCCACTGGCCATCCACCGGGAGTTTCGGGTTTAATACTGATATTTTAGTAACAAATATAATAAATCTAGGTGTAGTGCTTGAGGTCTTGATGTTTTTTGGAAAAGGAGTGCGTGCGAGTTGTTTCAAGAATAGGCTGGATCCAACCATATGTACTTTTTCTGTTATAAATTGGAAAGATATACCTAATAAAGAAGGGTACATGATCTCGCGAATTACTTCTGCATAGATTCAGAAATCATATGTAAGAACTATAGCATTTCGTAATTTATTGGAAAAGCCACTTTGATTCTCTATCAACCAACAATGCGGGACCCTTCACATGGTTAAAGCTAAATTGTTGAAGTCCAGACGCAACATGGTACTCTTTCGACCACTATGTTAATGTTAATATAGAGATGGTTTCAAAATAAAGATTTTATCAATATAGAACCCTAGTATCGATAAAATGATTTGAACTACTTAATTGGGGATTTTATCCCCATTTTTAGCCAATGTTGAATCGATGACCTATGTATTATGTATAAGGTAAGAAAAACTTCTCGAATAAAAAAAATAAACAACTTTGCTGACAATTACATATTTTTTGTTTGGTCAGAAGAGACCTCCGAATATTTTGGTCTTGGATTAGTGATTCCTTTTGATATTTTGATTTCATTTTGGAATTTGACAAGAGAATGGAGGATAGGCTCATTACATTAACAATAAAGATATGTGAATTTACATTGAGCGTGAGAGCCAAATGAATCGAAAGATTCATGTTTGGTTCGGGAAGGGATCATAGAATTTTTAAAATGAATGATAATCTACTTTCATTAAGTGATTTATAAGATAATCGAAAACAGAGAATCTTGAATATTATTAGAAATTCAGAAGAATTGCGCGAGGGGGCCATCGAACAGATGGAAAAAGCTCAGGCTCGTTTATGGAAAGTAGAAATAGAAGCACATCAGTTTCGCGTGAATAGATACTCTGAGATAGAGCGAGAAAAATTGAATTTGATTGATTCAACTTATAAGACTTTGGAACAACTAGAAAATTACAAAAATGAAACTATAAATTTTGAACAACAAAAAGTGAGTAATCAAGTCTGACAACGGGTTTTCCAACAAGCCTTACCAGGAGCTCTAGGAACTCTGAATAGTTGTTTAAACAGCGATTACATTTACGTACTATCAGTGCCAATATTGGTACATTGGGGGAGATGAAAGAAATAACGGATT